AAAGCCAAACAAGAGTCTGTAAGATGACACTGCTATGTGGGAATTGCAGGGCTTGCACCAACCTTCATATTCTTCTTCGCACTGCAGAGAAGCATCGCTTAGAACGTTTAGCAGCCTCAGCACAGGCGTGGGGAGCATCACCAAATCTTCGATATGGGGAGCTGTTTGACACCCACAGAATTAGAGAAATCAAAGTCCAAAGGAGCAAGAAAACAAGAAGCTGACTCAATATGCACTATCATATACAAGCACTTACTGCTCTTTGCAGTAGTTTTGCTTCACTATTACCTGCGTTCACAGCTTGTATTCACCCTGTTTCCAACTTACCTTCACCCGCGCACTGAGACTCTTTTAAAGGGTTCAGCGCAGCCCACAATTATACTGAGGCCAGCACCTGAAATGGCTTTTAAAATTACAAAGCTAACAGAAATTAAGCCTAGATTTACGTCTACTTAGCTCAGATTCAGAAACTGATGTGACCTCAAGAGCTGTGCTAGTTGAGCAAACTGTCTCGTATCTCTGAAGATGTGAAAAGATGAAAGAACTACTCTGCAACCTGCCTCTCCTGTTACTGCTACCAGACAAGCTGAAAATGGGCCAGCCAGCTTCTCTAACTCCAGTTCTTAAGCTGGGCTACAGCAGAAACCTCAGCTCTCGCTAGGATATCTTCCAGTTCTTCACTACACACCATGTAAACCCTCCCCCCTTCCAAAAACACACCTGCAATGCACGGTTTGTGAAGACCACCACACAATCTTGCAACAGAAACGGGGCAAACTACCTAGTTACTTATTCTTACTTTGCCTGAATCAGGCATGGACATGAGAGAGTGGCCACAAGGTGGGTGAGCAGTGACCCTCTGAACAACTTTACAGGAGAATAAAGCCCACTCCCACGGGGTGCTTAGCTCTAGAAAACAGGCAGCATCAGGATGGCCTGGAACAGCGTTGCATGGACACTACTGTGGAATAAGGAAACAGTCCAGGTGGACAGACCAACACCAAACTACCAGAGCCACGTCCGAGAGGACATCCAGACAGCTAGAAACTCAAAGCAGCAGGGACGACGTCACTTCTCCAGGGACAAAAGCTTGATTTCACGTTCCTGAAAGGGGCAGGCCAGTCATGAATTTAAGATCTGGGAGCCCAGCTTGCAATACCTGGAGAGTGTTAATGTTTTTATTTGTACTGGCAGCTACAGTGGCCAAACACAACAGCGGTACCTCACACTTCTCACACTTGACAGTGAGAGAGGGGAGAGAAAAGGGCTGCAGTTCTCCAGTCTGAGCTTTCCGACTACGTTTGTAAAGACAGCAGGCTGTTATTTCCTTAGAAATACTTTTCCAAGCTAAGCACACAACAGGTACGAGGGAGCTGACACCCCTGCCAGATGCAGACACATGTTGATTTCATAGTGCAGGAGGAGATGACAGGCAAGCACATGTGCTATAAATCTCCCGTCTGCCATGGAAAAGCCCGTATGAAAAGCTTAGGGGATGAAAGGCCTTATCAGTCTAGACGATGCCCAGACAGCGCTCAGGGACAGCCCTTCGAAGAAAGGTGCTGCATGCAGATAACCAGGCGTGTTCCTGCTCCAAGCGAACCGCCGGGACCGTTCTTCCACACGACTGTTGGCAACCAAAGACAACATCAGATGAACCGGGGACTGAAAGAACATATAAGCGTCGCCTTGGTCTTATATGCTGCCCCTTTTATTCAAGTAAGTCAGTCTCGTTTCACATGTCATTTTTTCAGGGAAGTGAGACAGACCAACTCCTAGGATCTTTCAGCCCCTCTGCTCCTCTTCCAAGTGTTAGGTGATACCAACCACGCTGACAACACAGAGGGATGCAGCCTGCAAGCAGCTCAGGAAAGAGGTTGATGAACTGTAAAGTCAAGACATGGCTATAAATGACAAGGAAAGGCATTCTCAGCTGTCTTTGCTCTAAACAGAACCACCGTGTCCAAGTGAAAGGCAAGGACAGATCGTTTTCTGACTTCCTAGGAAAGAAACAGTAAATGCTTCTTTGTGCAGACAAGCTTATGTACAAGTTTGGCAAAGAAGAGAACCAGCGACGAAGAAAAATTGAAGCTGTTGTATAAACTTGTAGCACTAACCACAGAAGCACCTTCCTAGGTACAGTTGGGTGTCTGTGTGTTTAAAACTAGACCAGAAAGCACTGCCAATATCCTACTCCCTCTGCTCTACAGCAATACTGGCTGCAAGGTTCAGCTCCTTCCACAGGAAGGTGGCTTTGACTACAACAGTCCCAGTTTCTGAGACGCGAGAGAAGTCTGAAAACAGGGCCGAGTTTGTTACCTTTGCCTAATACACAGGAACGCCAGTATCTTGATGTGACCTCAAAAGGCAATACTTAACTTCCACTGCGAGGTACACTGACCAGCTTAAGAAAAAGTAGGGCTGAAATTCAAGGGAAAATGCTAGTCCAGCTGGAAACCGGGTGCCTGAAGCATTAATTTATGCTGCAGAAAAGCTGGATGCAGAGCTCTTTGCTGGTGTTCTTGAAAGCGGAGGTGCTCTGGAGAACGCTAGCGTGTTGCTTGTGGAACAGAAAACAGGGAGAGATACAGGCCTGAACAGGGCAGTCTCAGCCCATCTTTTGCTGACAGCCTGCAAATGGGGGTGGGGGGTGCTGGGAAAACACCATTTGATTGAATTGAAGAGAAAGCAACTGTTTGACGTGTGCAGCGGAGGCAACAGCAGATGCTACCACCAGCCACTGCCCTAGTTGTTCACATTCCTGCCTTCTGAACTGGGAAACTTTTGGCATAAGGAAAACCTTACATCTACCATAAATAGAACCGCACTCTCTAAAAGCATCTTAAGGGCCACAATGTTAGGTAAGTACCTTGGTTATTTCTGTCCCCTCAGGTGCTTGGCATAAGGAAAACCATCCATCTACCATAAATAGCACCGCACTCTCTAAAAGCATCTTGAGGGCCACAATGTTAAGTAAGTATCTTGGTTATTTCTGTCCCCTCAGGTGAATGCTGCTTCCAATAAACTCTCAGTAAGTTGGATCTGGGCAGAATTTAATGGGATTCCAACCAGGGAAAAGCGACAACTCGCAGGGCAGACCCGAGAGCGCAGGCACCGCTCCGACCCGCCCGCCGTGGGACCGCAGACAGCTGGCGAGTGCCACAAAGAGCAAAGGGGCAGCAACACGGCCAGAACCAGAAACAACAGCATGTAACTCTCTGCCACTTCCAGTACCCGCCGAGAAAGCCGTGAGCAGGGGCGATGCGCACAGCTTACCGAAGGGAATGCTGAAGAACGGGCTGCATAAAGCCTTCTCCGCGGAGGCTCGCTTTCCTTGGTCACAATGAAGCATGCTGTAAGAGAAGACACCCTTAGGATCTCGCGCGTTACACTCCTGCATCGACAAATTCAACTTGGGCTGGCTCCCCTGACAGCATTTTGGGTACACAGTACAGCAGGCTTTCCTTCTCATTGTCTCTCAGCACCAAATGATGGAAGTTGCTCACCCAAAACGTTCACAAGGAACAAGGCATATTCCAGCCCCAGCTACCCAGGCCACTCAGCTCACGTCTCAGACATACATGCAGTCTCATGAAAACGATCACACTCCAAGAAGCTCTCACATCGTTCCACAAATGGGATTCAAAGCAGCTAACAGCCTAGGGCTTGCCTGAGAAAATCCCCTGCTCGGCTTTGCCAGTGGCTCCCGATGCTATTTCTGCCAAGCTGTGTCCTCATTCACTCTGTAGCCTCGGAGCAGAGCCACAGGGCAGCAAAACCAATCTCAGCAGATCCTTAACAGAGCTGCACAAGTGCATTTGAATTTTGGTAGCAGTGGAGAAGCAGCCCCCTCCCTCGTTCCTGGCAACACTCCCCTAAGGCAGCAAAGTCTCCAGTCTTCTCCAAATAGAACCTCACTGGCAGGAAATGCAAAGCAGCGAAACAGAAATGATTAACGTCATGACTGATACTCTTCATGTGCTTACTCCAAACTGTGCCAAAATCAGGGGAGCTGAAGCATCTCTGCTAATGCTTGCACTTGTTACTAGCACAGTGGCAGGGAGATTTAAAAAAAAAAAAGAAGCATTAGGTGTGGGCTCTAAGTTACCAAAAGCAAGGCAAGAGACTTCACGGAGCACATCCTTAAGCAATAGTTAGCAAATATGCTAAGATACCTTTTGATAAGGTCTCTGAGGTGATAAGCTGGAATGGCTGAATTAACCACCCCTTCACTGGCAAATATGCGATCAATGATGGCAGAACTGTTTGTCTGGAAAGAAAAAGAAACAATCCTTAGGGAGGGGGGAGAAAAAAAAAAAAAAAAGACCAGTGCAAAGCTTGCGATATCCCATCATTTTCCAGACTGGATGCAGAGGTCTCTGGTACTGTGGGGCTTTGTGGGAGATCCCCAACGCTCAAGTCTCACACATTAAACACCAGCAGGTCCACATCAGATGGAGTTTTCCCCAAGTGTCTGTGCTAAAGCTGGAAAGTTTCCGCACAGAGGCAAATTTGCTGTTACTGTGGATGTTATGGTGATGGAAGAATAATCTCACCGGGAAGGGGAACACGGAACAACATCGTTTCATAGAGGACAGTCAGGCTCACAACACAGAGCCTTCCTCTTGTTTTCTCACGATACAGACTTTGGAGAAGATCCCCGAATTACACTAACAGACTAAAACCAGCAAATAATTCCGCTCTCCCTGTGCTGCTGAACTAGCTGGCAGCCATCAGCCATCTGTTTCGTTCCTCCTTCTGTGCCACACTGCAGCCAGCGCAACTCATCTCCCAAATCTTGGCAAGACAGAGGCTCCAAAGAGACTCCCAGAACCCTCAGCTTTCAGTAACCTGAACACAGGCAGCATTCAGGCACAACAGTCCCACAGGGCAGACAAGTCTTTAAGGCTCTGGAAGCCTAATTCTCAAGGCAAAAGGATTAGAGAAACATCCTGGAAACCCTCTCTAGCTGCCAGGAGCTAGGTCACAAATCCAGGTTATGAACAAGAAGCAGGAGGACTCGTTTGGTACAAGCAAGAATGACCGCAGCAGCTATCACTCACCTTCCATTCCTGAGATTGGACTGTATGTTTCAGTTTCATTCCTGAGAACATTTCCAGTAAAACAATTCCCAGACTCCACAGATCCACAGCAGAGGTACACTCTGTCTCACTCTGGAGCCCTGCCTGTGCCAGGCAGTTCTGCAGTTCTGCCTCTGGAGCCCGATACCCGTCTGTTTGAATATATTTCACATCCTATGGAAGATCAAACACACAGAAAAAGTGAATTTTCCAGACTCTGGTTCTCTGTTCTACCTTTACATCAGTTGACAGACGTCCTCCCAAATGTGTCAACAAAGTATTATTGCTAAATTGACATCATACAGCCAGTCGTGTCAGGCAGCTCAACTCGCTATACTGCTTTGTTGATGGGGAAAAAACAAGACTGGAAAAGAAAACACCTCCCAGCAAAGCAGCAGGCATCCCACTAACATCCCATCTCTCTGAAAGACAGCGCTGCTGGGAGGAAGAGGCTGGATGTCACTGCAGACTGGCCCATTAACCTCTCCTAAGTGCAGAAGACTTGAGAAGTTTCAGGATAAAGGGTCGAACGCCCACACGTTGGCTGCCTGAGAGCACAAACAGACCGGGTCTGAACGGTGAGGACCAGTAACAGCTGCCATTATTCAAGTACTGATGTTCTCTGGAACAAAACGTTAAAAGAACAAAGCAGGCACCCAACGCTCAGATGGGGAAATTATCAAAGGCGCTTCCCACGCACCTCTCCCTTCTCCCCCCTCGCAGCCAGAAGCGCTGCAGCAATCAATGCCTGCCCAGAGTAAAATAAACTGCCCACGCGCTCCCGCTTACAAGAAAACAGGAAATCAGAGAATCAATCCAAAATGATCTGGTTCTCTAACTGAAAATAAAGTTCACAGAAGACACTTAACGGAGCTCCAAAGTGTTTTATGAACTTTAAAAAGAAATGGATACACAAATTGCTCATCAGCGTCCCTCCTCCTATCAGCCAAGAGCAGAAGCCCCAGGATGGCAAAAGCAGCGACGTAGCAGCCCCACCAAAAAAATGTGGAGAGATAGAGAAAACACTGTGGTGCCACCAGGAAAAACAGCAAGATGAAATTTCACTCCTACCATCCAAAGCCATTTTGAGAGATATAAGTGGTTGAGACCTTGCTCTACGTACAGCCCTTCTCTGTTAAACAGTAACAGCAGGGAAAGTTGTGCAAGGCTAAGCTCGGCAGAGCTGTCACAAATAAAAGTAGTGCAGTCTTGACTCAGATAAGGAAATCATACACGCATGCTGCTGCCCAAGGCAGGGGTAGTGAGGGGAAGCTGATACCCGGTGCGCGTTCAAAGCAGGGTCAGAAGGTTCACCCACACAGCCAGCATATTCCTGAGAACGGGCAAAGGAAACTCAGCCCGGAGAAGGCAGACTGGAAGGAAGCAGAGAAGCAAATAAAACACCTGATCAACTATTATGAGGCAACTTACGTAGCAAGATGCCAAACACAGACCTGAATTAAAAAAATATGTATCTGCATTAGACACAGGGCACCAGGAAACTGTTTTTTGCTGACAGACAGCAACAGATTACCAGCACAACCCAGCGTTCATCCAAGAATGCGTGGCAACAGAAGCACAACATGAAGGAGTTAAGAAGTACAAACATTAGAAACAGCTCCTGGACCAAAGAATTCAGAGACAGGTCACTCGCACAATCCTCCGATAACCACAGATCAGCAGGCTGTACCATCAACACCAGGTAAACCAGTAAAGAAAGTGTATGAACCTCAAACCTCTAAATGAGTACACGGAGTAGGGACAAGTGGGACAATGTCACAGCTCGTTCACTGCACATCACCCAGTGGTTAAAGACAAGTTTGCTAAGAGGCTACCTGAAGAAAAAGCTTTACTGGGACTCCTTCAGAGGCCACTACTTTGAGAGGGAGGGTGAAAGGAAGCCCTGTCGAGCCAACAGCAGGACCTCCTGAGGCACTCTGCTTTCATCAGAGGCCAGAAAAGAATAAAAAGGGCAAGGACAAGCTTCTGAAACTCGGTATCACCAAAACAAAAAACTGACAGTATGAAGAGGGAGTGCGAAGTTCAGCAAACGGGAAAAGCAGAGTAGAACAGGCTGAGATCTGTGTCAGTCAAGAACGGACACTGCTTACCCACAACCAGAGCCTGGGCTTTGTTAACACAATGACACGGGAAAGAAACATCCAGACTTAAAGGGAAGCTGGCGAAGATAGGATGAAAGTAAAGACGAGCACAAGGACACTGCCAGAGATAATGCACCGGACTGGGGAGGCTGATGGCAAAAGCGGGATTACTGCTACATACGATAAGGGATGATAAAAGGAAATCCTAAGGATCTGGATGCTCTCACTCGTCTGACCACATAAAAACTAGCAAACTTTCCAGGAAGCTGAGACACCACTTTTTTCAGTGCATCATTACCTTTGGAATTTGTGGTTGTGCATTGCACAATGGCTAAGACACCAACAGAAACCAGGGACACGCAAGGAGAATGGGAACATGTGCTTCTGCTTTTGGGGCCAGAAAACATTTTAGCCTTTTCCAGCAAACCCTCAGCACCAGCTCAGCTCCTACTCCCATCACACTGACTCCAACACCCACGAGCAGAACGCGTCACAGACCCACACAACTCAACACATGAGCCAACTGCTTCGAGAGCAGCATGTTCCAAACCTGATTCCCCTCTTTGAAGCTAAGTCCAAAGTCAATGAGCTTAAAGCACTCCTCCTCTGCACTCCACAGGATGTTGCGTGGCTTGAGGTCTGCGTGCACGTAGCCTTTGTGGTGCAGGAAAGCCAGGGCCTCGAGAACGTCTCGGGCACAGTGCTGGATCATCCACATGGAACAGCCCTGGTTGCTGGAGTGCAGCAGCAGCTCGGACACGCTGATGTCCAGCAGCTCCAGCAGGAGACAGCGAGACGGGCCATTGGCAGAGTAGTGGTTGGTGAACACGCCGTACAGTGTCACTGCAGTGAGACACAGCGACAGGCATCGGTAACGAGCAATTACGCGGTCATCATCACGCTCCACTGCTCTCCACTACTGCCCAGAGGACCAGGAAAGCCGCAGGAGGCAGCTCGTGTTTTACAAAGGGAGAGATGGAGAACCAAACTTCACAGGGAAGCAGCAAGGGAAGACCAGCCACGTCACCCCGCTGGGCTTTGGGGGACAGGCCAACACCCTGCCAGGCTCCGCAGAGGTGCAGAGCTGAGTGCTCCTGCTCAGAGGACAATCTCTGGGATATGAATAAGCAGGTTCCGGAGGGTGAAACGGAGTTAGCACCACTCTTTTTGCGACACGTTAATCCCTTCCTGGGAAAACGAGGACAAGCAGGAACCTGAGCTCTCGTCTGTGTACATTACAGCATTAAACAGCATTTCACATAGACCAAAAAGACCAAAAAAACCAGTGGCGGGTGAACGCGGAGGCTTCCAGCACTACCTCCCTTCCCGAGCCCACTCCCACCCACGCGGGGGCCCAGGGGCTCCTGCCAGAGCCAGGCAGGGCTTAGGGGCGCTCTGCCTGCGGCGACAGCCTGCCTGCCCGGAGGGTGACACCCGTCTCCCGCCTGCTCCTGCCCACCCTGGGGGGTGACCGGCAGGCCCCGAGCCCAGGGAAGGGGTGATCCCCCGTCCAGCCTGCCCCAAGGCGGGGGACCAGCACCACCCGCGGGGATGCTGCTTCGGGGTGTCCCGGCTAGGAGCCCTCAAACCTGCCCACCCAGGGGTGCCAACCCAAGGGGCGCGCTGGTCTGGGGTCCTTAGCCCTGCCCGTGGGGGT